AAGGCACACAGTATTGTGAGAAGATAAAAAAAATGGGAAATCCTGCATGCTGGCCCCTGAATTTGACACATAGGTGAAGAAGAGAAACCTCTTTTCCATTTCCATGGCTTAAAATTTAATCTGTACACGTTTGCCATTACATTACACCCTTTCCATGAAGCTGACTCACCAGTCCAGGAGCACACTGTTCTCCCTCCTGAGAGCACCCCTGGGAGAGAGCATGCTGTGGGCAACTTTATACATAAAAACTAACCAAAAATAGCAACTAATCACAGTGATGTGGCAGTCAAGGATTTTAACTCTCTTCCTTGTAACATTAAGTCTGCTCTCTGAACAGTATTCATAACAAAGAGTTTCATATCCTTGGTTTGACACACAGAAGACCAAATTATACCACTGTTTTGAGAAAGACAATGGCACTACATGATGTTGGATAGAAGAGCCTAGATTTTTTAATTCCAGAATCCCTCCCCCCGCCCTTATCTCTACTAGACCCAAACGGTTGAAGGAGAAAAGACACATATTCTATTTTAATGCATATTCCCACACAGGACCAATGAAGCCTTTCACAGACAAAGGAACTTTGATTAAAATTCTCAATATTGTCTAGAGATCATCCACATCAGAGCAAAATCCAATTAAAATTAGGTCATAGTCTCAGTCCTTCTGTACCTGCCAACAGTCAGTGGTTCCGATGATCAACACATAATCTGAGGAGTCTTCAGCCCTGTCAGACACTGACCCAGGAATTCCCAAAGCAGTTCCTTCTTACCTTGACAGCACAAGGCTGAAGTGCTCAGGAGCCGTGACTGGTGACAGAATAAAAATGCAGAGGCACTGCTGCTTATTCACATACCAGTTAAAAAATAGTGTTCCTTCTTTTAAAAAGTACTTAAAAAATGAAATGTCTCGGGTCCTCCACTTTGTGATTAAGTTAAATTTGCTTCTTTGCAGGTTGTAGCAATAAAGCATTAGAAGTCATAGTAATAATCCAGCTTTGCATCCACAGTTTTGCATCCTTTATCTGAATAAATTCTCTCCTCTCTGGGAAAGTAGGTCATCTCGTCGGCTATTCTGGTTAAAATGTCTTCATCCACAGCGTAGCCACGTGATTCAACCTCAACCCTGACACACATTTTCACATGTTTGTATTCCAGAGGCAGGAAAGGGATAAAGTAGTCAATGAGATTTTTATCAATCAAAGTGCTGTGCCAAAACCCACCTGCAAAGGGAAAAAGAGGCTTGTTACTGCTCCTCTAGTTCAACACTACACGGAAGAGGCACATCACAGCCCTCTGCTGCACACCATCACTTCATCTCACTGCAGGCCCCAAAACTGCATCGTGGCTCCTCACAAGCCAAAAACTGGAGGCCACATCGAGTAGAAACCATGGCTGTAAAAATGCAGCTAAGTACAGTCCATCCCTTTTGTGTAACCTTTACCCTCTCAAAAGCAATCCCAGCTTTACTCACTATTTTTGTTGTTGAAGACAGACACAGACAGTGCATTTTGGATGTCTGTGAGCTGTATGTCTTCCCTCGTCCTCCCGTTTCTCCAGAAATCTAGTGCCACCTCTGTTATCTTTTCAGCTCCTGCGTTGCTAAATGAAGAGAAAACAGAGATTGTAGCTGGGGGTAGTTTTAAAAGGCAGTGAGTGCACAGAGCTGCAAACCTGAGAAGGCACTTCTTACCTGAGGAAGATGAAGATGGCCTGTCTATAAGACACCCCATCCAACAGCTCATAGTAGTCCAGGAAGGGCTTGATTGAGTCAATGAGTCCCGCGTGCATTTTATCCATTTCATCAAAGATGAAGAGGGATCTGGGACAGATGCTCACATTTCCCCGGATCCACGACTGCAGCTGGTCCTGAGTGCCATGAAAATGAAAGATGCTGGATGAGTTTGTGTCGAAAAGACAGAAAATAGCACTTATGTTTATACTGAACTTTGCCCTGAAAGAGTTATTTCAGTGGTGTCATTTTAATAGCTCTGTCTTCTTGACAAAAAAGTTGTAAGTGAAACTTTTAACAAAATCTCATGCTGGTTCTGAAAAAGGCACCAAGAGACAGGATGAGACAAGCAGGAAATCTCCTTGTGAGAAAGATATTCCTACATAAAGCAAAAATTAAAGTGCACAGCAGGACAAAGGATGGGTCCCACCAAGGAACAGTCACACAAAACAAAGCTCACTTAAGCATTGCATTTTTCCTCTCACCTAAGTGTTGCATTCGAGATCATTAATGAATTAATTGGGGAAAAAAAAGGGGTGATCTGTCTTGACTATTTTCATCACTTTTTTATATTCACTGTTTACTCAGTCCCTGAACTGCAGGTGTTAAGTAGCAGTCACTACTGGTAACAAGTAGCAATAGGTTTCTCCTACTGCCTCGGGCAGCAAGCTTCCCAAGTTTATTCACCTCAAAACAAATGCAGAAAAGCTTCCATTTTATTTTAAAACAGCTCAGCTACAAGAAGGGGAAAAATAAGCTGTAAAAGAGGAAATAGCTATTTCCTCCATTTAGAAATGAAGTTTGTAGCCCATCCTGTTCCCATTTTTAACATATACAAACTGAATATAAACATGCAGTACTACAAGACAGTGGTACTCATTCAAACTCTGCTGTTAACAAAGTTAGAACAAAAAAACCCAGAAAACATGTATTTGAGCTACTCCTCCACAATATCTCCCTGCCCACAGAACCGCACTGACCCCACAAGGTGACACAACAATTCCAAGTACACTTATCTGTACCTCTCTGACAACATAATATCTTGTGATTTCACTTTACAGCTGGGAAATGGAACCACAGAAAACTAAACAAGCTGCTCAGTGTGCAGCAGAACTGACAGAAGGGTACACCAATGCCTCAGAGATCAAACTTCAGCTTGTCGTGGTGCCTGACACACCTGGAGGTCACTGGGTTGTTCCCCAGAGTCATGAACTATTGGGGGTTTTTTGCAGTGCCCACCAATATATTACCTAACCATGACTCATGTTTATCCTTAAATCTCTCTATGCAAACTGTAGAATGAAAATTAAACCGCACCATTCTTCCCTAAAGAGAGGCTCAAAATACATGAAAAACCTTTACAGTCACAGGAAAACAGCCCTGATGGATGTAAGGATTCACCTCGTTCCGTGCTGAAGACTCCAAAACAGGCACAGGATACATGTTACTGCACAAAATAACGTCTAGGTCAGTAGTACTGATCGTGCCATGACATTTATAACCCAGGGCAGCAGAGCACACTCTTACCTTGTAGAGATTGATGCTGTGAGCGTGAGGAAAGTGCAAAGTTGCGACGAACTGATGGACGTATTTACTCTGCAGGCCTTTTTTATAAATGCTCTCGGCGACGATCTTACTGACAAAGTTCTTGCCTGTCCCAGTCCACCCGTGCAAGGAGAGCGCCAGGGGCTTTTTGGCGTTGGTGTTGTTCAAGAAGCCCCTCACGGCTTTCACAACCACCTTGCTCACCAGGTGCTGCCCGAACAGCCTCTTGTCCAAGGTCTCCTGCAGAGCTGGATGGAGAGACCACACGGTGAGCGGTGGGCGAGGGGTCACCCCGCGCGGTGTGGCGGCCGCAGCCCCGGGCAGGGGGCAAAGGGCCGGGCCGGGCTGGAGCGGCGGCCCCCGGGGAGGCTCTGCCCGGTTCCCGGCGCCGCTGCCCCCGCGGCGCCCTCCCGCCACCTCCCCTCAGAGCCCGCCCTGGCCCCGCACCGGCGGCGGCGCGCTGGTCGTGCCGGTGGAGACAGCACTCCCTGAAGTAGCAGTAGAGCCGCGGGTAGGAGATGAAGCCAGTGAGGGCGGAGGCGGCGGCGCCCGCGATGGCGAGTCCCAGGCTGATGGGCTCCACGGCGCCGGCCGGCGGGAGGAGCAGCAGCAGCAGCGCCAGGGCCGCTCGCAGCGCGCCCCGCCGCAGCTTCATGGCCCGCCCGGCCCCGCCACCGCCCCGCCGCTTCCGCCCCTCAGCGCCGCTTCCGTCGCCGCCATGGCGGGTGTGGGAGAGGCGGGGCCGGCGCTGAGGGGAGGCCGCCATGTTTGGGCGGGAATGGGCGGGGCCGGCGCTGGGGCGGCCGCCATGTTTGGGCGGGAATGGGCGGGGCCGGCGCTGGGGCGGCCGCCATGTTTGGGCGGGAATGGGCGGGGCCAGCGCTGAGGGGCGGCCGCCATGTTTGGGCGGGCACTCGCCGCTGTCAGCGGCTGCGCGGCGGCCTCGCGTGGTGGAGTTATTAAATGTTACACTCTGTGGCCGTGTGTTAGAGTCATGGAATCATAGACTTGTCAAGGTTGGAAGAGACTGTTAAGATGGTCAAGTCCAACTGTCAACCCAGAACTACCACTGTAACCCCTACACCACATCAGCAGCACCCAGATGCAGACACCTCTTAATCCAGGGTTGGTGACTCCACCACTTCCCTGAGCAACCTATTCCAAGACCACCCTAACGTTGAAATTTTTTTTCCTAGTATCCAATCTAAATCTCCCGTCTCAAGGCTCCCTGTTCAAGGGATCCGCCTGCACAGGCTCAGGGACAAAGTCACCTATGGCCAGGCTCTGGGACAAACTCATCCATACCCTGGCAGACACTTTTCCCCTTTTCTGAAAAAAATGTAAAATCTGATCTTGTCCCTCCTCACCCTGGTGTTGCCACTCCTGAGTTGACAGGACACCCTGGCACCCACAAACCATCCGCAAGGATCCCAGAGGGAAAAATGTCACTTCTAATAACTTAAAAACACTTTTGCTATTTTCAAAGTTACAAATCTTCACTACAAGTACCCACATTGCACCTCCAGGGAAGACATGGTGCAGCCAGCTGTGGCCTCTGCACCAGCTATATATTTTAAATATAAAGCTCCCAAGAGCTTTACATTTATAAATCAAATAGCACTGCTGCTTTTAAAGGATCTGATTTTTTAAGTACTTTTAAGAGGGTGAAAAAAATCTATAAAAGCAAGTTTGTTTTCTCACTAAAAAATGCCAACCATGAAAGCTCATTTTCCATTATAAAACTATTTATAAGAACATAGTTATATACAAGGTTTCACTGACCAGAGAGTTCACAATCATCTGCAAACTGATTCACTACAAGATCACACAGGAAAAGCTTCATAAGTAACATCAGCATGTGAAGGTAGTGACTCTTCTCAAAATCCATCGCAGGTCACAGACACAAAATCCTTTATTAGTGGAAAATCCAAACAACTCAAAAGGCTTCAGTCCACGTTCATTAGTATCGCCTGTTCATCTTCTTGAACTTCTCATAGTGATAATCATCTGTGGCTTTTTCATTGAGGGGACGTTTGCGATTTGGAGGAGACCCTTCAGAAGAGAGAGAGGGAAATATTATTTCCCTGTCCTTTGACAGAAGACCTTGTCTTAACCCCACCACTTCCCTTATACAGCCCCTTGCTATGTAAGGTTATTGCTTCAGCTGTCACTGCTCCCCAACCTTGCACCCTTTGCTGTTCTGGCTTCCACCAAACCCTTCTCAGACAGCTTTTCCAACATGCTTGAGCTGTGACCTTCACTGCTCCACCCCTGAGCATCTCTAAAAACATCCTCCATCCAGAGGGGCTTCAGGTGTGACCTGGCAGTGGTACATCAAGCGCAAACAACCAGCTCTCTTGGACTTGGATTGCTCCATTTCCCTCCTAGCTCAGGGCATCCAGAGGAGGTAAAAAGACCCAGATCCTTTCTCTGTTTCCCTGAAGAGTTTCAGTGTATCTCCTTACAGCCTTTCAGAACTTACGCTCAGGTTCTGGTCTCTCAGTATCCCCCACTCTCAGGGGACGGGGCTTTGGCTCCTCTTTGTTCCTTCGCACTGGTGCGTTCAGCTCCTCATGATAAACTGAGAGAAGGAAAACATCAGGTAAGGAATATTATCTGGAGCACTCTTATCCAGATGGACAAATTTCTATGGCATTTGTTACAAGTGATCTTTAGCAGAAACAACAGCAGCTTAGAACAACCATTCTTGGAATTGGGTTTCTATGGATAATCAATACAGGCAAGATGGGGTACAGCAAATTTCAGTAGCACTATTTCATCAGAAGTGGCCCAAACGCTCTTTACTTCCTTTAGAACACACCAACCTGACCCCCAGTCACCCCTGTGAGCATGGAAGGACACAGCAGAAGGCTGCCTTTCCTCCAGATGGCTGTGGTATGAGAGGCTCTCCCGGAAATTAATTCCCTTCTCCTGTCTAGTAAGGTCTGTGGCCACCTCTCTGCTCTGGCAGCCTAAAACATGGACCCTCTCCACTATAAACCACCATTTATCATCCCAGACAGGGCAGGCATTTCCAACGCACGCTCAAGGCACAACTTAAAGAAAACATCTTGAAATTTATGAGTTGCTGCCAGCTGGGAGTTCAGAAAGTTCAGCCATGAGAATGAGCAATGAGAGTCCCTCTTCTTGCTGACAGGAAGAAGAAAAAGACCAGGCCAGATGTGGTCTATATGAGCATCCCAGGAAAAGCAATTGTGGAGCTGCTTGTGCCAACACACAGACTCTGCATCAGACTCTGTCCCAGCCGGGTCAGGAGAACTACATAAGACTTACATCTGTTGTGCTGCACATAATTAACAGCCATGTTGGTGGGAACAAAGGAAGTTTCGCTGTCTTTCTTCTTGTTCTGCTGCTCTGCCAGCAGCTTGGCCTTGGCCTCTTCAGTTGAGATGATGTTTTTTATTTTTGCACTAGAAGAGAAAGAAAGAAAAAATACTCATAGTTAGAAGGGGTAGCAGGCACAGAAGTGCTAAGTGGATGGGTCTGGGGGGTAGTAACAGCACTGCCATGGTACTGTTACATGGTACATGTGTTTTTGGAGAGAGGAGGCATTGCTATAGAAACAGGTGCTTCGTTTCAAAGGCAAAAGGGAAGCTCCCATCTCTGTTCATCCTTTCAGTGCAGGGCACAAACGGGTCCTCCAGAAAGCTGCCAGAGTCAGGTCACGAAAATTAAGAGCCTTTTCCCACAGGTCACACAGTGGAGCTGCACTGAGCCCTGTCGCTGTGCTGTGCTAGTTACCACACTAATCCAAAGCAATTCTCAGTCCCACCCCACAGCCAAACTGGGGCTGTGTAATCCACCCATAGCGCTGCTCTGCCAACCAACAACTGCTTATCCCGGAAATTCTGGCCACAACCCACAGATCTGTGAACCACATACTCAATTCCCAGGTCCACTTCAGGAATGCCGCTCAGCATCTGGTTGGACAGCATCTCCTCAGTCTTCTTGGCAGAGGAGACACGGATGTTCTCTGGCAGCTCGTACAGAGAGTCCTCAGCGTTCTTAAGCTTCACCTTCTGCTCCTCATTCTCCACAATTCCCTTTCTCTTCTTCAGCTCAGTCTCAATGTACTTCATCCTAAACAGCAGCACATGAAGGACACACAGCATTTAATTCTGTGCCTGTACTCCATCCCAGCCCTGCTGAGCACAGCTGCATCCCTGTCCTGAAAGCTGGGACAGAAGAGAGTAATCTCTCCAAAAGAACTCAGCTAACATCAACAGCAAGAATTAATTGTCCAAGAAACAATCAGATCCTCCAAGCTCTTTCACAGCCTGCAGGGAAGGCTCCCACTGGGATTTAACGTCAAGCTGTCTGGTTGGCACCTCCCAGCTCTGTCCATGAAAAAGCCTTCTCAAGTCTGGCATGCAGGAAGTGAAAGGGTGAGGGAAAGTTTCAGTGAGAACTGGGAAGATATTCTGGGAGTACTCAGAATCCAAGACAGAAAAAAATAAATGGTGAGGGACTACCCAGGCCAGTTCAACACCAGAGACACAGCACAACTCACATGTCAGCATCTTCATCCCGCCTGTTGGTTTCTGCTGAGAAGGAAGTTCCCAAGTTCAGATCCTCCTCTTCATTAATCCTAAGTGGAAACCACACTGTTTACAGGTTTTGGTGGGGGTTTTTTGTTTGTTGTTTGTTTTTTTTGGGAGGTAGGTGTGGTGGTTTTTTTAAACTAATTTAACATGTTAGGGTAAAAATAACTGGCCAAACTGCATTATATTAAACTCTCTAAAGTGACACGACATCTGGTTAGTTCATTACCAGCTGTCATTTAACACTAGTCCAGAGAGAGATTTTCAGAGCTCACATGCACCCACCTGTCCTTGCCTCTTTCCTTCAGCTTCTTCATGTCCACCATTCCCCCGGATTTTATCTTAAATGGGTCATCCTGTAAACCAAGACATAACAAGAAACCCTGAAGCTTCCCCCTAGTTTAATGCTAATCTTCCAAATCTGGATGAAAGCACAGAAAACATTTAGGAACTGAGCTGTGACATCAGTCCCACCCCAGGCCAGACTCACACAGTCACTGGCTAGAGCACAGCAATGTCTTCACACCATCACATCTTAGCCCCGAAGTGGGGCTAAGTGTTGGAAGAGCCCAGCACTTACCACAAGTGTTGCTTCTTCTTGCAACTTCTCTCCCACAAGCAGAGCTACAGCACTGGTCATGCAGATAAGGAAAGAAAACGGAATTCAGTGGAAGGAAACATATTACCAACAATACTGCATTGCTTTATCCTTCTCTAATTCTCCCCCTCTTTTCCACCCTCAGGCTTTAACATGGAAACTGCTCTGTCAGGAATATGGTTTTGACAGTATCTGACATGTAATGGTTTGTATGGAAGGAGGCAGATGATGAGAGAAATTCACTGTTACATCACACCCTCAGACAAAGCACAACTTCCCATCCCTTACCTCACCCCATTGGGTCGCTTTCTGAGGCTCTGAACTTCTTTGGCTTCCTCAAGTTTTAACCTGAATAAAAAAAGACATTTGACTTAGTACTTAATGCCTTGGTTTTAATTAATTATTTTGATTTTCTGCAGTTAACACAGAATTTTCTAGTCAGACTTTGTCCTAAACCTCTGCATATCAGCATCCACTTTTCAGGTTAAATAGGTATTTTCTATTTATTTGAGAAATTCCATGTATTTAAGCAATCAGAAAAAAAATCCTAACTAAGGCATCTGCTGGATTTGTCCCTTCCAGATGCCTTACCTCAGCTGAGGAAGGAAGCACCTAAATGTTGAAAGGCTTTAAGAAGTCAGTTTGGGAAGAACAAGCCAAGACACATCAGTGCAAGAGTGACTCTGAAGAAAGTTGATGGTAAACTGAAACCCCAAGTGCCTCTCTCTAAACTGACAGGCATCCTTAACTTCTGCAGACATTTAAACTTTTCCTAATGACACGTCTTTCAATACCTGCCAAGAACTGCACCATCAAGTATTTTTCAGATATAAAAAATAACAAGATCTTGTCGGGGATGAAAGAATCCGAGAACAGAAGGGACCCTCTGTGAGTGCCCAAGAGGATGACAAGTGAATGTCAAGAAAGAGGCAGGTGCCCAGCAGGGACAGAGGGTCCATGGGGGTCAGAGTGGCCCTCAGTGTTTCCAAGTGCAGCTCCCAGGGCTGTCCGGCTCCAAACCCTCTCCTCTCCTGGCCGGAGCACCCGGGGGATGAGAAGAGATGGACGAGACACCCCTGGGAACGGAGCTGCCACCCTGGAGCGGCCGGAGACGATGGAGAGATGAAGTGACACAGCCATGTAACGGTGTGACGTGATGCTGTGACGCAACGACTCCATCACACAGTGGTTCAACACAATATGACACGAGGCACCTTCTAACAGCACAGCCGTCGGTGACGATACGGCGATATGACGACATGACACCATGTCGTGACGCGCCCGGACGCGGCACTGCCGCACTAAGGCAGACCCGGCGACCCGTCCCCACTCCCGTCAGCCCCACGACCGCTGGGCCCGGCCGGGCTCCCCGCCAGCCCCCGACCCACCTGACCTCCTCGGCGAGCTGCTCGTCCTCCTCCTCCTCGTCCTCGTCCTCCCTGCGCCGTCGGAAGGACTTCTTGGCCGGCATCGCTGCGGCCGCCGCGACAGGACACGACACGACAGGACACGACACGGCCCCCACAGCTCAGCTCCGCTCCCGTCGCGCCGCGATGACGCCACAGCGCCGCGACGAAGCCGCGCGGCCCCGCCCCCCTGCCAGCACCTTGTCCGGGCAGGATCCGCCCGGGAGCCCCCCGTGTGCCCTCCCGGGAGCGGGGCCGGGAGCCCCCCGAGCTCTCCCTGCCTTTTCCGAGGAGCCCCTGTGTGAGTCACGGCGGGCGTCCCGTTCCTCGCAGCCCCGCCGGTGGCCGGTGCGTGTCAGGGGAGCGCCGGTCCCACACCCGGGTTTACAGCCCTTGCAGCGGGCGGGACGCGGCTCCTCCAGCCCCGGCCGCCCCCCGTTCACCGAGCCGCGCTGCTGGGTGCCCCGGCTGAGCGAGGGGCTGAGCCCCGACCGCCCGGTGACGGGGGAGCCCCCGGGGCCCGCAGGGGCAGCGCCACCGCCCCTCTGCCCGGCCCGTCCCCGCCCCGGCGCAGCCCGGCCCCCGCTCCTCCCCCGGCCTGCGCGGCCCCGCCGCTGCTCCGCCGGCTCCCCGCGCTGCCCGGGGCCCGCGGCCCTTCCCGGCGGCCCGGCCTGGGGCGGGGGTGGCGGCGTCCCGAGCATCCCGCAGGTGAGCGGGGAAGGCGGGCGGGGGCGGCGGGGCCGTGCGGGGGGAGGGCGGGCGGCCGGGCCCGGGATGATGCAGCAGCAGCGGCCGCGGGGCTCCGGGATCCCCGGCTTTGGGGCGGCCCTGCAGCCCCCCGGGGCCCGGTGCCTTCCCCGGGGCGACCCTTTGGGGGTTTGGAGGTTTCCGTTCAGCCTCCCTCGTGCTGGGCGGCTGTAGCGGCTGTCAGGGGGGGATTTGTGTTTTGGGGGTCTGCTGCGCTCGAGGAGGAAAGGGGGGAGTTCCCGGAGGTGTTTTTTTGCTTAAAAGCTAAATCTCAGGGTGAGCCGTTGTGTTGTGACCTCCTGTAACAAAATCAGTGTTCAGACCTGCTCTGCTTTGCCTGTTCCACGTAAACCTTCTGGCTTTCCCTGCAAACGTTCAGCAGCGAGTCAGAAGCACTTCCTTTCTGCTTTTGCCTTGTCAGTAGGGCAGTTCAGTAAGTATTTCTTTCTTTAGTATCTCAAGCATAAAATGTCGCTGAGAACAACTGCAGATACTCCGTTCTCTTGGTGGGTTATGCAAGACCAGACCTGGTAGTTTGTTTTGTGGATGAGCAGTGCAAAGATCTCTTTTGTTTGTGCAGTTACTCCACACACTGTCAGCCTGCATGGATCTGAAACTCTTGATAGCTTGGCTCTAGCTTTGGTACAAAACCACGCAGTTGTTTTATGCAAAAAAACCCCCAAAAACCCCAAACCCAATAAATGTGTTCCTGTAGAAGGCAGAGACGCTGGGTTTGGCAGCAATTTAAGCAGCTGAAAGTAGGTTGCAGTTACGGTGGAATTGTTCTGACACGTTCGTGTGCTGTTCCTCCACAGTGGTGCTTGAGAAAGACAGGCTGAGGGACTTGTTTTAGGGTAACTTCTTTTCCCATCATCTGCAGTACGTTTTGACAGGCACAGTTCAGCTCTCTGGCAGTGCTTTCATGAAATTCCTGGTTTCTTGCGCAGCGTCAGAGCCGTGTGTGCCAGCTAAAGCTGGTAGGGCAGAGTCGGGAGAAGGCAGAGGTTGAGTATTTCCTTCTGAGCCGTCACAACTCCAACCTTTTTCTGATGTGTGCTGTCAGGGCTGAGAGGCAAAAATGAGGTTTTTTCTCTGTTTTGTTAAAAAAGAGAAGCCCTGTGTTGGGAACATCAGCACCCCAGTGCTAGAAATTCTAAAGGCATGGTTTTAATTTTGAGGAGAGGGGTGGTCCCAAGGAGAGCACTGAAGCCATCCACATCCACAAGACTGAATTAACACCGTGTGCTCCAGAACTGGTTCCTAGTTTGCTTAAGCTGGTGAAGATAAGGGGTCTGGAATTAATTTTAAACCAGTATTTTGTTCACTAGATTTTCTGGAAAATATCTGGGAAAGAGACAAGAAATCAAGGAAGGTGAAATAGCAAACGTGGCATTGATACTTTTTTTTTTTTTTAATTGGACCAGCTAATGCATTTGGGAAAATGGGGTCGGGTTTGATGAAGAGACTCAGAGCCTGAAATGTCCCAGTTTTATGTGTTAGTCAAAGCTACCGTGCTCTTGTCACTTGTCTTTTAAATCAACATGTGTTACGTGGTGCTGTTTTCCTTCTCTGGGAAGCTGCATGGAATTGCTTCATTGTTTGTTAAGCATCTCTTGACAAGTTACAGAGATCCAGGTCAGCACCACTGTGGTGTTTTCTACCATGCACGTATGATTTCTTCCCCCTCCAGTTTTGCTTTGCTCCTTCTGTCAGTTCATTCAGTTCTGCAGAGTGCTGGGAAAACATTGTAAAATTATGCTTGAGGTTTGTCTTCTGCCAAGGCAAGGTGCTAGGCAAGCTTTTCCACTCCCAGATAAGTGTTGCTGCAATGGCTTGTTCATATATCTTTTTTTTATTATTTTCCTTCCCCTGTCAGTGATTCAGACCAGATAACACTGGGAGTTCTTTCAAATGTCCTCAAAATGTGAAAAAAAACAACAGTGTAGCAGCCCTGGAGTCATTAACATCAAGTTCATCAGATTTTTCCACTTCTTTCTTGCAGTAATGTGGCCTTTTCATATCTGCTTCATTTCCAGCCAACAGTAATATTTTTGATCCTGGTCTGTGCTATTAATATCACTTGTCTTCTTTTTTATTTTTTTTTAACAGCCATGAGTGAGGTTATTTAAGTTATGCTTAAGAAACACAAAGTCCTTTCATTTTTTTTTTTTAATATAGCTGCATGTTACTCAGACATGTTTAAAGTCTTTTACATACCCGTGGACCACCATGAAAGTGTTTATTGTGCTCATAAGCACACAGCTATGAAATCCTCAGTTCTTGTCGTGCTTGCACACATGAGCCAGGTGGAACAGTGTGTTGTTCTGTTTTGCACAGTCTCAGAGTTATGTGGCTCATAGTGTTGAAAATCTACCTATCAAATGGTAAATTCCTCAGAGACTGTAGCCTGGTTATTGGTGTTACAGTTCATTTAAGTTTATTTCCCTCTTGCCCAGCTTCATTTAGAACTAATCATATTTTTAGTGTTTGATAAGGGAGTGTAACAGCGAAGTGTTAGATTGGGATCAGCTGGAAGACACCACAGGCTCCATACTGGTGTCTTGGGCTGCAGTGCCCTTTCACTTTTCACCTGAGTTTCATGCAAACGAGCTAATTAGATTTGTTTCTTTGCAGCTGAAGCTGTGCCTGTGTGCCAGCACCTCCCTGCACTTCTGAAGGCACATTCCAGGACAGGGATTATTACCTTTATTTGTGTGTTTCCTTCTCCTCCCCATTGCCTTGTTCGCCTCAGTGCAGCCACTCAGCAGTGGGGCCAGACAGTGCCAGCTCATGTGAATGGCTCTAGATTTGGATTTGTTTCAATCTCTGAACCTTAAAGGTGGATATGTAACCTCTGATATGCAAAACATGCCCATGTATCTTCTTACAGTCTGTGAGAGCAAACCTGACATGTAGGTAAAAGGAACTATCCTTCCTTGTCCCAGGAAAACACCTACCTTGTGTGAGCATTGGTGAAAATGGGGGATACACGAGACATCTGCCCTCACCTGGATTCCATAGGAGAGGTGACCAGGGATGACCTGCTGCTCAAATCCAAGGTACAGGGTGTTGTGATTGTTGGTCCTTTCCCTTTTAGCTGTTGTGCATGGGTTTGCATGTTTGCTTTTTGAAGAAAATGCTGCCTGTCTCCAGAGGGAGGCAAAAACTCTCCTTCCCACTCTGCTCTACCCTTCACATGTCCCATAAAGCCAACTTTTATGACCCCACCTTATCTATTCCTCACTGTCATCCTGCTTAAATGTTCACTTAGCTAAAGTGCTGCAAATTGTATATATTTGATTGGGAGTGTGGTATTAAGGAATGAAATACTGTGAGCTGCAGGTTGGCAAGGGCTGCCTCACAGAGAAGTTTCCCACTCTTAAAGGATTCAGTTACTTAAAAACCAACCAAGCAAACAAACCTTCTTTTGTCATGAATATGCAGGGAACTTGCCAGTCTTGTGGAGCTGTGGGACCAAACCTCTGGGCTTGTCTTCAGGTAAAAATGGCTTCTTATTTGTGTACATGATGTGGTGGAACTTCACTTGAATAGTAGGAAGCAAAGAGGGGGTTGATAGTGGAACCATCTATGTTTTTTTATGGATTCCAAGGAGGAGACTCCCTAGATGAAAGGGCAATGCTGTCAGAATCTGCCAGGATGTAACAGTTCACTCCTTGTAGGGAATTGCCCCTGCAATTCCCAGTAGGAATGAATAAAATGCCCAGTGTTGACTGTGAGCTGCCTCTGCTGGCACCTGTGAAGGGGCTGCAGGGTGACACCTTGGCAGATGTTGCTCAGGGCAGTGAGGAGGGAGGGAATGCCACGGGACATGTGGGTGGGAAGGGGCAGTTTATTTCTACACTGGAATCCCCGTGAGGTTTGAGGCTCCTCAGAGGAGCTGCCTGTTGGAGCAATGACCTTGGAACGGAGCCTTTATCTGGGCCCAAACCTGGTTCCAGGTTTCCTTTCTTAAATCACTTCTAAATTCCCATGAATTCTAAATTTCCATCTTGTTCTGTGCCCTTAATAAAAAGCAGGTTAGAAAACTGGCAAGATAATTCTGAAGTTGCTGCTGCTGGTGGGACTGGAGTTGCAGACTGTTTTGTGAAGGCTCTAATTTGATGTGCCTGTTGTGTTTTGGCTCCTTTCCCTCTCCAGACTGGTTGTCCTTATGTTGGTTGTGGGGAGTCCTTTGCTGACCACAGCACACTTCATGCACAGGTGAGCTTTCCTCTGTCATCCACGTTTAGACAAGACACAGTTGGATTTTTTCCCCCCATTCCTTGCTCTGGTAGTCCCGTGCTTCAAATTGCACAGAGCTGTCAGAGGAGACCCCCTTCATTTCACCTCTTTAATTCTTAGGCCAAAAAGCACAACCTGACTGTGAACCTGACCACGTTCCGTGTGTGGTGCTACGCCTGTGAGAGGGAGGTGTTCCTGGAGCAGAGGCTGGCAGCACACCCGCCCTCCCCCCCAGCCAAGTTCCCTGAACCGGTGGGTCTGTGTCACACAGGGCCAGGGCTGAAGGCTTGGCAGGGCTTTTGTTTGCCTGCTGTCAAATTAGCCATGTGGTTTCTGCTGTTGTGCGGGTTTTGTTGTCACAGGAGCTCTTCCACTGAAAGTAGCCAGAGGACCAGTAGCCCTGCCTTATAGGGTCTCCCAGCAAAAAGACTTCCAGATGGCTTGGGGGTGGGAACTAGATGATTTTTAAGGTCCCTTCCAACCCACACCATTCTATGATCCTGTGATTC